CTACTGATACGTAATGCCGTCATCCACGTGTTCAAATTCCGTTTGCTGTGTGAGCTGCATTGAAATACAACACGGCTTTGAATTAGAACACTAATTAATATTGAACACTACTTAATTACGCTTTTAATTAACAACTATAAAGCTTTTAATTAAGCAAATTTTAATTTTTGTACATAGCTTGGAACAATCTGTGTGTGTCCATTCCAGTTGTGACAGAATTAGTTTTCATGTGTCTGAATCCATTTCTCAACTTAATCATCAATTAATTTATTTACCACTTGAAATCAGCGAATACAAGTATACTTAAAGGATTCCTAATATATTCACATACATATTTAAAAGTCTCAAACCATAATATTCTTCCTATACAAACAGTTATTCACTATTTGGTAAAGCAAGGTCAACTGTCAAATTTGACACATTTTTCTATAATCTCACTGGGTAGCGTGCATTGTCTCTCTTTGAATCTCAATATTTTCCTGCTAGATGGCCAAGACCTAGTGTTTTGGCATTAGTTCGACGTGCAACTGTATGACATCACCATTTCAACCATCAACGAACGCATGGAACTAAAACAAAGCTTAATATAAAGGAAAAACTAGAGAGGTGACGGAATTACCCACGATGACGGAATATACCGCGTTTACCCTATGTTGGATGGATCAGGATGCAGTGAAGCTTGTCCGGAAATCAGTTGCAATGAGTTCCTGCCAAAAAAATGTAAACATCAAGTTTATGATTACGTAGTTGCGGACTGCGGTCACATTAGAGCGGTCAGACTGCATTATCACATCATTCACATGTTCACTTGACATTTGCTATACAATCAGACTGTTTTTAGGGTAAAATTAGTTATTTGGGGTAACACATGCATGCAACCTTGTAAATAAGTTTGTGGCTTGTAAATAGTTTTTCATTAATCAGCGAAAATGGCTTTTCATTAAAAATTACCCAGTGACACATCCTGAAAATGGTTGGCGACGCTTTGGGCTTAAAAACCCATAGGTTTATTGGCAATGCTGCCACCACCCTCTGCACCCTGGTCAAGAGCAAATGCAAGTGCAAATCTTTCAAGTGCAAAATAATTTAAGAAAACAATAAAAGTAATTATTGCAACTCAAGCATCACACTAAAAATTAATCAAACTGACAGATATGAAAAGAACCATTATAACAATAAATGACAATAGAATGAATAAGAATCAAAGTGCATAAAATAATTAGCTTAAAATATGTACATAATTGAATCATGCGCAAAGGCTAAACCAACTCACCATCTGGTGATGGCGGTGAGAGTTTCAGAATATTCTGCTAACTCGAGACAAGTTTATGTGCATGCATTAAATAAAGTTCATAGGGTCATTCAATACCTGAAACAAGACAGAAAAACATAAGGCAATATTAGACACAAATGCATGAGATACTATTGGCATAGCATGATAAGCATGAAAGATGATAAATAATAACCATGTTTGCAATAAGTTGAAACAATAAATGGATGAAATAGAAAATTGTGAGCTTAAACACATAAGCTTGGTCTGCCCTAAGATTACCCCTGGACCCTGGTAAGTTGCGGTAACACCGCGATCATGCTTAGACGGAGAAGGTGGTCAACACTGTTGAAAGCCTTCAAGAGGTCAACTGCAGCAGCAACTGTGTGGGCTGGAGGGTGCCAAGAGTTGAAACCCATTGCAATCTGGTGCGCGAGCAGGAGGAAAGCAGTGACTGTGGAATGTCGCAGTTTGCAACCATTTTGTGAAGGGAATGTGGTGAGAGATCCTAAGATGTATGGAAGCACAAGACACTCTAGGATCTTGGCCCTGGTATGAAGAGCCCTGGTTTCCAGGTTTGCCAAGTTTAAGGATTGGAATAATTATTGAATTTTTCCAAATGGCTGGGATAGAGGCTGTGGAGACGGAGATTTTAAAAATATGGGTAAGGAACTGGAGGCTGCGTGGGCTGAGGGGCTTGAGGTCGTGGGCCAAGGTGCTTGAGGTTGTGGGCTGAGGTGCTTGATGTGAGGGCCCATTTAGCTCACTTTAGCTGTATGACAGCCCCCTTCTGCTCTTCTGGATCTTCTGAAACCATTGAGCATTTGCTGCTGCACTGTCCTCAGCATGCTCCACACACACCCAAGTAGCTAACATACTAACTCGTCTCAACATAGGTACCTGTCTTGCTGCAGAAGCTACTTGGTGAGGGCCCCTTTCCCTGCCCCATCCAGAACCTGATAGTTGACACTAGCTGCATTTTTATCAGCTACTAACACCCTCCATTTATTATGAGTTATGATACAACCTGTTAGATCTAACTAAACTAACTAAAACTTTTTAAGACAGTTGAGTATTATTTAGGCAGTGACTACTTCATGTGAGGTGTACTACTTTTTCCTCTTATACCAAATTATCCCTAATCTCCTTCAGAGTCCTGCCCATGGGGTCATGTATTTTTTCATCAGAGTAGAACTGTGCCTTATCTATTGGGTCCAAAGATGCTCCAGGGACTCCCCCCCCTCTCCCAGGCTGGACCTTCAGAGACTTGTACAACTCCATGTGAGTTGCTGATTAGGGCATGGATATTACAACTAGCTGGGCTGGGAAAGTACTGCCAATGTGGTGATCTCTAAAGCCAATGCTCAATTTCATATCACCTATGCCTATTCTGTACCTAGACATTTGGCCCTGTTATCATAAACTATGTTCTTTCATTTTATTTGTTTTTGTCTACAATTTATTATTTTTGTTTTTTTATTATTTTTTTAATTGTTATTTTTCTTTTAGTGTTATTATTCTTCTTGTGCTATTTGTTTTGTCCAGATTTGCAGATTTTCAGACTTTCATATGTTACAGGACTATTAGGTACAAACTAAACCCTGTTTAGGCAAGGGGCTGCATGGACCAGTATCCAGTGCTCCTATAAGAAGAAGAAGATTTGCATACAAATTCATATTAATTAGGCAGTTATAAGTAAGCTCACATAAAGTGAAGAAAAATCCTTTGAATCTATCATTTCTATTAGAGGGTTGAATTACAATTCATAGTAATGGTAAGAGGATATTGTACTACATCATTGGCTTCCAATGTTCTTTTAAGCTGAAGAAAATATTTAGACAATGTGAAAGGAGGGAGTTCTATTTTATAATGATTTTGGTAATAATCTGACAGTGGGCAGCACTCTCTGAATATGAAAGCAAAATAATCTAATGCTACTTAGCTGGACAATGTATTTTGCAGATATGAGCTGGAAATTGCTATACCGTTTATAGATAAATGATAGAAAAATGATGGGTAAATGAATGGCAAATTATAGATAAATTATAATAATACATAGTACATACCGTCAAACAGGGTAAAAAGGGACAGGCGGGGTAATAAGGGACAGTCCTCCAACATTTCGTAGAAATGTTGTGGCAGCTAAACTAGTTAAAATATTGCAAAACAAAAAATAGTGGCATAAAGTTCAACATTTTTCCTATCTATGTAGCATAAAGCAAGTCAGGAAATTGTACATTTACTACCTCCAAAAAATCCTTAGAAAAAAGTGTGAAAACTGAAAAGTGAGATTTTGGAAAAGTACCTACCTCTGCTAAGGTCTGTAGCAAAAAAAATATTTACCGTATAAAAAAATTAATGACATAAAAGTTGCACACAGGTGTTGGCTTAAAAATGTGATTGGCAGAATTAGAGTACCGTATCTCATTCCAGAAAAAAATGGCGGTCATTTCCGCACAATGTGGTAATAAGGGACACCCCTTAAAATGCATTTACAGTAGAGCCTTGGTTAGCAAAGGCTCTAGTTAACAAAAAAAAATCAATTAACAAAAAAAGAATTTTGATTATTTTACCTCACTCAGGAAAAAAATTCACTTGACAAAAAAATTAGTGCATCATCGGCCATCACCAAACTGTGCATAGAATGTCATGTTGTTGTTGTTGTTGTTGTTGTAATTGCCCATCCTGGCAGTGGCGACTAGGGAGGGGGAGTGATAGGTCAGTTTTTCCGGGCACTCGGTACCACTGGTAGTTCTACGACCATCACTGGCTTGCTGACCCGCCAGAACCATTTGATTGCATTACACAACACCCTGGACAAGCCAGGTACTCATTTATCAACCAGAGTTGGATGAATGGCTGAGTTGACCATGAGCTGAGCTTCCCGGTAGAACTTGTCCTCAGTGGGACTCAAACCCGGGAGCTGGGTGCGAGAGACAGAGTCTCTCACCACTGTACCCCCAAGCTTTCCCATAGAATGTCATAGATACAATTTTGTACTGGGCAACATAAAATGAAAAGTAATTTAACTAAACTATGATTTTTCTCTCAAAAAATATGATGGTTGTCACTAAAATATTCCTTTGAGTTTCAGGTATGATTTTACAATCTTTTTCTGTAATAGTGAATTCACTTGACTCAATTAAAATGGTGCAAAATTACAAGCCATCTTGTAAGCTTACCTACAGAAGAAATGTTACATGGCTGCTGATATGAAGCTTACAGTGGACATGGTTGTTGTCAATACTCAATGGCATGTCCATGAATTAGGTAATATCACATCAATAATACGATAATGTATGGATATGGTAATATCATATCTATAAAGGAAAAACAAGTAAAAATCACAGAAAATATTATTTATTCTACATCAACATCATCTACAAAGGATGAGGAAGACTTCACATTACTGTTAGTAATGGATTAGTACACTCTGCATGCTTCTAGCATTTTAAAATTGAGTTTTATTTCAAGTGTCCCTTATTACCCCGTTCCCAGGGTTGGCTCAGGAGGCTTTTATTTTGCGTCTGACATCTTACGAATAGCATATAGAATTTTTTCAAAGATGCCATACAATAGCCCTTGCAAATACCTTTAAAATGAACCCCAACTCATTTATGAAATGTTTCATGGTAAGAAGTTATTAAGGAAAAATTCTCAAAACCTTCCCTTATTACCCCGTTTGACGGTACTAATATATATGTATTAGTATAGCACTGTCAACATGAAAGTTTTGGTATATACCAAAAATAGTTTGACATGGATGTGTGACTGTGATTGTAGCCTTACCTTAGTCATGGATGTTTGATTGTAACATGATTGTATTCTTTCAACATGTGGCTATGCATGTTGGTGTATTACTGACTGGACAAATGCAATGCCTGCTGCTACCAAGGTTGACAGCTGGCAACATTCTTGCAAAGATAAAAAAGTTTAGCAAAGTAATTAATTAATTGCCTGCCTGCGCCAGTGAATTGTAGTTGATCAAGTCTTGTTTATATTTTTCCTTAAGTGAAGTGCTCTCATAAATACCTCTTTCTAAGTTTTTCCAGTTATGCTAAATGTAATAACTTTTGTCTTGTAGAGTCCATTGCAATGAAAGCATCCCTGAAAAAAGATGCCCTTCCTATCAACATTTCTGTTGAGCATTCAGGGGCTCACAGCCAATGTACTTGGGCAGGCTTAGCAATCGAGGTGCTCATGTATATTCTGTACCAGAGACAGCAGGTTCCACTTCCTGTTCCTGTACTGTGTCGAGAGGTGACACAAGCACAACACCGTGGCATTCACTTGCATTCAGCTGAAAATCAAAAATGTCATGAGAGAGATGATAGAGAGACCTCACATCAGTCCACCTCTGATGCCAAGTTAAAATCACATGTAAGATTATACTAGAAATTTTCCTTTCATGAAGTCTCAATACTTGATGCAAATCATTTTTGCTAGTATGACTATGAATGTATCATATTATTAATATGATTATAATATAACCTGTCTGCACTCTATATTTGATACTTGTATATTTGATGTAATTTGATATATATTTTTTTCAGCTACAAATTTCACGCATGAAGCAGATCAGAGTCAGACAGCACAGACTATGGCTGAAATACTTCAATAAGGCTCAGAAATTTATATCAACTTACCAAAATATTTTGAAGGTTGGTGAAGAGATACATGATGGTAAAATATTATATTATCTTTTATTAGTGTTGGCAAATGCATTTAGTATAGGATTTTTTCACTGTACCATTATATAATTTCCAGAAAACATTTTACTCAATTTCATCAGTTAGGTTTTGTTTTATATTTATTTTTTATGCTGGGAGAAATTCTTTCCCTTTCTTTGCTGAAGTTTGCTATTCTTGATAACATTATTATCATTTTTAGCTCTTTTTCTCATTTATGGAAAAAATGCACTATTGTGCTCACCATGTCCGTCTGTCTGTCTGTCTGTCCTTCCTTGACTTCATGTTTTTGTTGTTGAGAAAATGCGCTCTCTGTCACTCACTGCAGCAAGTACTGAGTTATATTTTTCATTGATATTTTACATTTATCTGAGCTTTTTCTCCATATCTTTCCTTGAATGATCAGTTTATGCTGGCCTATCTGAGCTACTATGGCTTTCTTGAGAAACAAAAACACTTAAAAATATCTTGTCTTTCTTGCACAGACACTGGAGCAAGAACTGGCGTGCACGAGCGACGTGAAGGCAGTGAGGTTTGCTCTGGGCTGCTCCTGCATCACGGCAAAGGAGATCTACACAATACACTTCCCGGCATGCACTTCTGCCCAGTCTTCCATTAGTGCATCCGTGCCAACTAAACTGAATAACGTTACTAAACTCAATCTTCTCAAGTGAGACCTGCTATTTGTGTCTAGTATTTAGCTTCATTTTGTTGATAAGCATTTGATCTGTTGCCAATGACTAAAGTTTTTATCTTACTTCATGTGCTGTTTAAAGAAGAACACGTAAGCTGCAATTACTGTACATAATATCTGGAAGTTACTAATAATTTTGCATGTGAGCAACTGGTACTTCTTGCTTGACTTTGAAATCTATTAAGAAATACGGCATTGTTTTTCAGGTCAATCATGTCAAGCCAAGAGTTGTTGAAGCTAGTCAACACGAGGACTGGTTTGAAGAAGGTGTGGGTTCTCCTCTTGAAGCCCAGTGGTTCTCTATCAAATGAAAGAGACGATACCTGTTCTAATACTTCTTGGATAGACAGGGGCAACTATGGTTTGGTGAGAGGAATTAAATCAGTGGACATCAGAATAAATGTGGCAGTGAAATCAGCTGACCTTGTACCCGCTTCAGAACGACTGTGTTCTCAAACTCCCAACAGGAGCTCTAGGCCTTGTGGCCGTCGCGTGCTGCAGTCCTTAGAGGATGAAACCCCCTGTGGCTCTACAGTTCCAATCGCGGGAGGAAATTCCGTCACCGACGACATGAAACAATTCGAGATCTTGCCCCTAGAATACTGTGACATTGATACGTCTCCTGGTCACTTTTCCACTGCCCACTCCTCCATTGCCGGGTCCTTTGCCGTGCCTTGCTCTCGTCCAATTAATAATTCCAGGCCTAATATGGAAATGGTAGATGCGTCTGACAATGAGTCGTACGTCAACTTTACTCCCATTCGACCTGTAAATTATGACGTTGTAGACATGATAGAAACTCCAATATCAACATTCCAAACTCCCGCAAATAATTTGAACAACGGGTGGTCATTTTCGCACTCGTCACGCAATATGTCTTCAGTGCCTTCTACATGCAGGAAAGAAATAGCTATGCGTGAGACACCTTTATTATCTGCCACTAGTAGAACGGTGTCTACCTCCAACTGTCCTGCAGTGCTTGAAACCCCATTGCCATCTTCAAGGTTTGGGCGTTATTTCACTTTCGGGAAGACGACTTCGGTAATTGAGACTCCTCAGATGCTACATAGTGATAGCGTTACGAAACAGTCAACATGCAAGAAGAATAAGTTTATATACGAGACACCGCAGTCTTATATGAAAACTGGAAATTTAACGAGGACTTGTTCAAAAGTGCAGTCAATGCAAGAAACTCCCATTCGTTCAAGCAATACATTCAAAGTGCATGGAAAAAGCGTGGTTGGAACCGACTCCTCGTATTTCAAGGCTCCTGAAGCATTTCATACTTGTACCAAAGTCATACCTGTTATTGAGACTCCTGTTGTTTGTATGAACAAACCAAGTTCTCACAACTACATCAATAGGTTTGCGAGAAAAGGAAAGAAGCAACTATGCCTTGATGATTCATTCGATGAACTTGGCTGTCATCGCATTGGTAACTTAAGCTCGAGCATCAATATGGAAGACGAGCCTGTGAAGGGAGAACTGGCGATAGTTGAGCCTGCGCGTAGAGCCTATGATGCCAACGGGTTTGATGCAGCTCATAACTTAGTGATTACGAATGTCTGCCAACAGAACAGTACGGCAATCGAAATTTGTTCGAATGCGTCTGGTGCACAAGTCTGCAATTGTAGTGAGAACTCTGTGCCGCTTGCCTCTAGTGCACAAATAGAAGCCCACGAGGAAATTGTTTCGAATTCCTTCGAATGTAAAGAAGAGATCTGTGGAAATGGCCGTTCGTCACTCGAGTGTTCTGTCGCAACGAACAAAATATTGAAAGACGAAGTCGACAAAGAAGAAGACCTGATATGGTATCAGCTCTCTATTCCGATCGTTGGCTTCCTGGACAAACCAGTCGCCAAGCCCGTTGCAGAATAGCGTTACTGTTAGCTGTCCGAACGATGATAGTCGTTTGAATTCTCGTACCATTCCCAAATCAAAAGTCAGGTAGGAGGTATCAGGTCCATTTCCATGGCTCACAAAATCTGATTCAGATTCATAATACCAAAAAAAATGATTTGGCGCTTGTTCCATAGCTCCGCTCCATTTCTTACATCATTTGCAACAACTGCGACAGTTCGTTGTCTGGCCATTGTGCTTGACAGTATATTCTCTTTAAAGCCATAATTCAAAGTTTATGATGTTTTCATGAAAATCATAATTTGTATAGCTAATAATTTTCAGAGCTCCGACGACAAGTTATGTCCTGATATGAGTTTCCTTATGTTCCGTTCAGTCTAATTTGTCCCTCTCCTGCCGCTGTGCTATTAACTGATCTGGTCTTGTGGACTTCAGTGCTGCAGGGCCTCGACTGCTTGCCGTTGATGCTTTTTCGGAATTTACTCGTATTTATGCTAATACTTAAATTCTTTTGATCTCGTGTACTTTGTGCTGTGTTCTCTTTGTGGTATTCTTGTATTTTTGAGATATTTATTAAGTTTTATTCCGACCGGCTTTGTCCTCAGTGAAACGAACAATTATATCTTGATTAAATTAAGGAAAGCGCTTGAGTTGCATTTTAGAGATTTAGATTTAATTTTGTGAGTTCTATAGCTATTTTTGCGCTAAATTACAAGATTTCTGGCACTTTAATGAAGCATTAAGAGGCCTGTAGTGTGCTGCCTTAATAGACTGTTCCTCAATGTCGAAGTAGACTGTGCGACTCGCTCACTTTCGGGGCATCTTGCGCTTTTCATTTTCAAGTTTTCTTGTCCTGGAAGAAAAATTTACTGAGCCTCGGGAATGTGCAGCATGTGTAACGACACGCGAAAAAATTTCTCAGCAATGCAAGGAACTCTCCTTTTACCAATATAGTTTGTTTTGAATCCAAGACGTTGGATTGAAGGCTTTCAACCGGATTTCGCAGGTATGACAGATGTTCATTGGATCATATTGGGCATAATAATTGATATAAATGTGTTAATACCCGTGTATTTAGTTGGTTGCTAGTTGAAACTTGTTTATTCAAGTTGCCAAGTGTGTAAGAAAGCCTGCGCGCATCATTACTCCGGCTTCATGTAACACGAGTTAATTAAACCTACTAACTTCTGTCTAGGCTCTTAATTTCCCTTGCTAATTATCTAGCAGCTGTAGAGGCTTCATCCATTTGACATCAAACCTTAGTCTACTCAACACATATGTCATTTTCAATGCTTATTTACATCTAAGGGCATGATGAGCGAGTATTGCGATCAGTAGAGTGGTTAGGGCAAATGACGAAGTGCTGCTTGGGCGCCCACTTCCGCTCATCCCTAATTTCTGTAGCAACTTTTTTCATCTGCATTCGCAGCGTATCGAATTATTTGTCTAACAAAAGAAATTATTCTTCTGTTCATTCCTCGGTTACTTAAATTAAGTCCATAAAACTTGACGGGCAGCTAAAGTGGTCGAATACTGCTGCTCAGTGACTGCAACATCAATTTAGAGCGACAGCAGAGAAGCCCATCACGAGGGCTGTCATGAGGCCGACAAAGAGCCAACAGGCGAAGCGGTTGAGCTTGTATGCCATCGCGGCTCCAGCATCGAACTCCTCGTCTCGCATCCCTGCCCCTGGCACGTCGCTGACGTCGTCGTGTCTCCAACAGACCTTGAGTGCATGCTGGCTGCCAAGCACTTCACCCAAGTCTCGCACCTCTGAGCTGTATTTTCTAGTTTTTATTCCACTAAGTCGCTTGTTGCGACCGTTCTTCTTTGGTTCGTCTCGTAGGGATGGACGTTTCTTTACGCTTGCCCGTTCCTGCATAAGAAAAGATAACCGATTACCGCGTTTTCGAGTTATGCATTGACGTGAAGATCAGCTGCTACAACTCCTAGTTTTTTCAAGGTTCCAAATAAAATTTATCTATACCTAGACTATACGTTGGAACTCTTTTGAAGAATAGAAAGTTTACCGCTCGCACGACGTGATGGTTGATGATGACCAGGCACAGGATGATGCAGAAGAGCATGGCGATGCACAGCACGCACCACACGTCTATAAGCTTCAGGTACGAGGTGCGGGGCAGATGGTCGCCGACCTACCGAGTTATTGCTAGTATTTTACGAAGAGATTATCGTGTCGTCTTGTAATCAGAACTTCTTTTTAATGTCATACATCGTTGAACGTTACATATTATTGTTGTACATTTAAGTATTGATAGAATTGGGAAGAAAATTTTTAAAACTGAGCAGAAAGAAGATAGAAAAAAATAAAAACGACTAAGTACAGGAGTCAATGGTTCTTCGCAAAAGTTCGATCTTTATGCGAAGGCGAAACACCAGCACCAAATGAGCCGACGTTACAGAAGCTATTAGATTGCACGAGTGCCCCGCTCTAACTAGTAACTGTTTCGAATGTTAGGCAGTTGATTCTTCCGTTGGTTTTTTCTAAATTTTAAACCGTTACTAAGAACGGAATCGAGGCATATCAAAGTATTACGGTTTCGAACACACCCGATTGCTAATGATTCGTTGAAAAATATATTCTATTGATAGAATATACGAAGACGCAATTGAAACTGAAATTACGTTCACTAAATTTAGCCTCCTTTCCATTGAACTCAGAAAGCTTCATGCGAGAACAAGTCTCAGCGTCACGCACCTGCGTAAAAAAAGTTGTCTGTACGAGCATGGCGGTGAGCGCGACCATCACCCTGTCTTGGAAATCCTCCAGCGCGAAGAAGAACGTCATGTATCCGACCAGCATGAGCAGAACCGACGGTAAAAACGTGTAGAACACATAGAACAGCGAGCGATTCTGGAATGTCAGTTGCACGCTCAGCGTCGGGCAGGAGGCCTGGCGGAGAAAGTGAAAATTTGGCAATGTAATTTTTTAATGAAAGGAAGCATGCGAGATGATTTATTTAACCAAAAAATGTAGTGCTTTAAATTCACTGAGTTTGAGCGCTCACAGTATTCTCGGAAAGTAGAAACGTATATCACGGCTAACATACTCGTGTGAAGGCTTCAAGAAGATTCCAATAACTGTCCGGTAAACGGATTTTGAAAAAGTCAATGTCTTGCAAAGTGATTGCAAACTATATCCTCAAATTCATGGAATTGGTTCTTTATCGCTTACATTACGTTTGTCTTAAATTAATGCATTTCCAAAAAAAGATCGTCAATTACAGTTTTGGGACTTATGTTTTCAGTTTATAACAATAGAATAGTAAGTCTTAGTTCTAGTCGAGAAAAGAGTACTTCTGGTGTCGCTGTTAGACCTGATTAAGAATGAAGGCTTCCACTTGGTCTACGGTGTACTGAAGCAGGTTCTTCTCGCCCATGTATTCAGCCAGTGACCGTCCATTGTATGGCAGCAAGCGAACATTTTTAATGTTGCACTGCCAGATGATGATCTGGATATCAATTCATGGTTTATTCGATGGACTGATAACAAGTAACTTGGCATCTTGGCTCATGTTTAAGTGTTGATGCTACCTTCTAAACGAGAAAGCAAGTACCCTTATTTTAATCACTTACAATCAGTTATAACTAAGGAAGTAAACCAACGCTTCTTCCTACAATTCATCACTAATTTCTACCAGAGACACACTATTGGTCGGGAATTTATCTTTTTTTTTCATCGCTCATCCTAACTGTTTTGCTTTTTGGACATATGTACAAAAAAAACTCACAGTTTGGCAGAGCTGGGTATCAAATGGAAACATAGAAAGTTCTATTTTGCACTTGGTCGTGATGGTGAACGATTGCTTATTTATGATTGGATTTTGGGCGCCAGTGAAGATTTCATCTGGAAATTGAAATATGTATTGATATTAATGGAAATCGGTGGCACATTTCTCTTGAATTACTTGGTTCCGATTCTCCTCTGTAAAAAAAATCCGCAATGCATAACAAAAAATGTCACAAAGATATATTACACATTACCGTAAATATTTTAATGAGTATTAATTAAAATGCAATAGAGTTCAATTAATATTAATTACGCTCAGATGTGAGTGAGTATGAACGATGAAAAAAATCGTGCTCACCTTCTTTCGGTCTAGAAAGATCGTCGGGCTCGGGATCAGCTTGTCTTTTCACGAATAATTGCTCATTAAGGTTTTGTGTGGAACTTAATGAGGAATTTTCCCCAAAAATTTCATGGGAAGGCTTCCATAAATCTGAAGAGACGAACTTTGATATGGCGTTCAGCTGTGTGTTATGTTTAAGATTAACATACGTGCGAGTAGGATCATACCATTGAGTTCTCATTACTACGTCCGCTGTCATGCTGAAAGTTCCAAGATCCAGAAGATGTACAGATACGATTTCGTAAGCAACGAACAGATCAAAGAATCCATGACTATTTGATTTAGGAGGTGGGATTCCCCTGTCATTGTCCGCAGAGGGTAGCATTATGATACAAGCTTTCTCGTCGGATCCGTCTTTGCAGTCTCTCTCCAGGTCACATCGATTCATGGCCTTTACGCAGGAGTTGTCTTCACAAGTGAACTCCCCATCCTTGCACGACGTTGCTACAATTGTTAATGTAGTATTGTCGTTTTCATTGGTCCAGTTTTGGCGTCCAAATGGATATGGATTATTGCGAGATCCTTTAAATTCCAAACCTCCTGAGCTATAGCTAGTCCAAAAGTTTTGTACCTGCCAGGTATCTGTATGAGAAGGGTGATACTTCCTCTTCAAGGTAGATGAATGCATTCCAATTAAATTGGGATTAACGAGATTCTGGTCAAGGTAATATAAATTATCTGCAATAATTTCAGTTGATATTCCTCGAAATCTTACAACGGGAATGGAGTGAAACTCGCATGCTACCATTCGTGATTGTGACATTGTCGTATAACTCCAGGTCTTCATTGCATTTGGAGATTTAGAAAGACAACCCTTGAAAGTCAAAGCGAAGTGCGCGTTGTTAGCCCGTATGTCATCTGCCGTACTAAGTTTTGTGAAGTTTAGCTTTTCCTTTGAAACATAATGTGTCCATTCGCTTTCCGGCCCATATGCTGATGCTCCAAGCCACAGTATATCTTGTGAAAATATGCGAGTGCTGCAAATTTCGGGACTTGTAGACGTATAATTGAACAGGACATCATTTTGGAAAGAATTTTGGGGCAAATGGATGTGGCCTCCGAGCGCATGACAAAGTGATTCCGCTTGCTCATATTTCACTCGGTAAGAAAATAATCGAATGAAAGGAATTTCTTCATTCTGAAGTAACACAACACGACGTCTTGAGAAGTACGTCTCTACATTCGAGGCGTTGAATGTTTGGAAAGACCTAAATGAAACAACTGTATTATTTGCAGGCAGTTGATGCATCTGAACGTAGTCTTTTAAAAACGAGGAGTCGAGATATTCATTGGCTATTTCTAAATCAGCAACTTGAGCCTTCAATCCTTCAAAAGGGTCGAAATTACCACCAACGGAGTCTTGCTCCTGACCGATGTAGAGTTCTCCACCACCTGCGACTTGCATCTCAGTCACATGGGATATGTTTAGTACTTTATTGATACTTTGTGTTTGTTCATCATTGAAGAGTTCAGCTCTAAGAGTTTTCAGGTTCACTCTAATACAAAAGGATTTCCATCGTAGCGGAATTATTTGCATCTGGAAGTCGAAAAAAGCCCTCCTCCCGCAACAACCAACAACCACACGCGAAAATCGTGCATCGTAATCTGAAATTACAACGATTTTTCTATTAAAGTAACATATTTTACTAAAATATTTTATTCATATATAATGTGGTAGAGAAAGCAGATAAATTGATTTATTAAATGTTGACATATTCAGAAGACTGCTCAATTAATTCAATTAGAGCAATTGTAAATAATACAGCGTCCTACTGCTGTCAAAATTAATAGTGTAAATGTGCAAAACAAATTATTTAATGTTTAAATAGACAAACAATTTTCGATCGAACGCTGCTGTATAGGCTACATATTTAACTCTGAGACTGGCTCAGAAGCCAACGCCCACCTTCAAAGAGCAATAAATACACTCGAGGCTCACTCAATTACGATTACGGCCTTCACTCAACACTACATCGCATAAACTACTACCCGCCAACCTATAATCACTTATACAATTTTGACCCACGGAAAGGAATATAAGTTCGTTATGCAGTTCGGCATTTCTAGCTTAACACTCACCCTATTTTCCGACACATTCACATATGTGCTACAGCCGCTACAGGTATCTAACAATTTTTTTATTTAGGTGACGGTGAGTAACAAAGGCCGCACATGGTGCCTACTTACTCATGAAGAGCTCGTCGTCGCATTCCGGTACAGCGTACGAGATGAAACTGCTGGGATACATGAACTGGTAGAAGCGAACCCTGAGGCACACCGTAAAGCTTGTCATGTTGGGCATGCGTCCCGTGAAGTGCAGCCAAGAGTCAACTTTTGGAGCTCCAAACTCGTTGAAAACCGCAACACCTAGCAACAGAATTTAGCATTTTGGTGAGCGTCCGTTAGTTATAATTAAGTTATCCAAATTAGTGTTACAATCTTCAAGGTTTTTAATGCGTTTTTATTGAAATAATAGAATTACCGTTCATACTGCTTAGTTCAACAGTTCGACCGAAGCACCAATTTTTTTTAATACTCAATTAATGTAAAGAACATATATTCTCACAAACATTCAGCCATGGAAAAGAAGAACTGGCTAGTGCCATATTGTCAGAAGCGATTGTTGCACAAAAATTTAATTTCCGGTCAATATTAACAGCGAATCAGACATTAACAGCGAATCAGAAAAACTAATGTTGTATTTTTTTTACCCCAGACCCAACTCGTTAAATATTATTTTACTTATATTATTATATATTATGGATGAATCTAACTGTTATCGAAGAATCATACCCGACTTTTTTCACTAGATTCTAATACGACAAACAGATGTTTAATCAGTGTCTCAATGTTTATAATAATCATAAGCAATACAAACGTTATCAGTATCTCTACGCGTCAGTAGGATCAGAAGTTGTCTATTTGAATGAAACTTACCGACAGGGTCTTCTGCACCACCGCCGCTCAATAGTTGCAACAAGCACACCAGTATCGCCAGACCGCTGAGCGCCATGGCTGCTGTCCGTCTTCTTGCCAGCGACTAAGGGCAAGGACGTGTGTAATATTTTGCTCAATACATCAATCGTTTAGAATACTTAATCGATTAGCGCCACTGTTTTATCAACTGCTAGGGGTTGAATTATAGATCGTGTTACACCCACACTCTCATTCCGCAAATTAAAGCAAATGCTTGTGATCCTAATTTAGACGAAAGCCCTCATCTCTCAGTGCAATCATCCAACACCGCTAAAAAGAGGCGGGTCCATTTTCCTTTGCCCAAGTCAATAAACACACTCTTGGGCACGGCATTAATCAACTTGAGTAACGCAGGCACGGCAGAATCATATTCAGAGAATGTAAACTTTACGTATGCACGTAATGTTAAAAATTTGGTTCACTTTTGACGCAGAAAAATGAACGTAGAGTTGAGAGGATAATATCGAAGCATTTTAGGTTACCTCAATTAAATCCGAAATCAACATAGGTTGTTCTTAGTTAATCACTGGTTTTCAATTTATCATTAACCATTCGAATGCACATACATTTAATGTTGTAAATCGGCGTCATTTCTGTTTTTAAGAACCTCTATTTGAATTGCTGCGAGTTCGTGAGCGCA